TTCCTGCTGCACAGCACACTCACCCACACAGCCACAGAGGAGTCACAGAGACCAACATGGTATCAACAGACCTATTTGAAAAAAAGCCCGTAAACACCTTCCTGCCTACCTCAGAAAGGCTGCCACAGCTTTCACAGCCTCCACTGCCACCTCTAGCACTGGGAAGTTCACCGTCTCCATCAGAACATCAATGGCTTCTTTACATACACCTCGGTTTGTGAATAATTTGATTTCCAATGGTTGCCTGAAAAGAGGAAACAGCAAAGAGAATATTGTCAGAATAAAGTAACTGCAACACCCTCTCCTTATTTCACCAAATGGATAGCTGAGCCATGCGGTTCCAGCCATGCTTTTCAGTATTTGGAGCCAGCTGCTCTCAAGGAATGCAGTCTCAAACTTGAGCATGTCTGGAGCCCTTCTACAGAGAAAAAACCCACAGCTTGGATAACCGTGTGACTGTGCCAGCAAAATACTGGTACGAAAAGCACATGAAAAATAGGCTCTGCAAAACGTAGTGATCTCTCTGCCTAGGACTTTATGCTGAGCCCATCTGCTCTATCATTTAAGGATCCATCTGGGAATTCACATTTCTCAGTAAACATCCAAGCACCACCATCCTAGAACCAGGACAAGGCCAGGAGAATAGATTCTCTCACAGTCCTGTGGCATTTCTAATGCCAGATGCTACCAGGACGGGGACTTTCATGAACTTGAAAAGTAATCAGGAAAATAAACAAAACCCAACTGTTTTGACATTTTTTTATTGATAGTGAGTACTCTGATTGTCTGATCACCTTATGGCATGACACCTTTGAGCTTTCCACACCCGAGCACCAGCGGATAAGGAGTCATTAATTCTGCTATTGTGTAAAGCTGCATAAATGGCAGACAGGCTCAGCTGGCTCCTGGCAAGTCAGGTACATTTGGGAAGGAGGGGGGAAACAGGCAGCTACATGTGGGAAAAGGGCACTAGCAGCCTGCCAGAGGGCCTCACCAAAGAGACCAAGTAAAGCCAAAGAAGGAGAAGCACAGCATGACAGAAGCCAGATTCGGAGCCAAAAGCATTCCCTGTTACTCACTTTTCACAGACATGCCTGATGAGTGAGCCAGGAGCACATGCTCCCACACACAATTGAAAGAGAAAAGTGAACTGCAGCAGAAATGAAATTAGTAGCCCAGCTGCAGCGCAAAAAGCGAGCAGAGGCAGAAGTCCTCCTTTTAGTCACTCAAATTCAGCTTGGCAGTTGCCTCACATTCTGCCGCGAGAAAAAGTTGAGAAGTGGGCAAGGCAGGGAGAAGGCTTTGTGGGGCTCAGGAACCAGGACCAGCCTCTGGCCCAAGCCATGATAAAGGATATGCCTCATGTTGTTTCTACTGATACTTTAATTTTATTAATCCCCTGCATTTTCTTCCTTTCATCACTGACCTTCTGAAGTAAAACACATCAGAAGAGTCTTCACTGACTCATGCAGGGAGGAAGGGATGGAGGAGTACTGCTGACTCATTCAAGAGGCATAAACCCACTTGCAATATGGTGCATTTTGATGTCTTTGGGGCCTTAGGAAAAAGCGTGAAGGACAGCACACCTGCAGCTTCCTGCACCTTCTTGTCTTTGGGCCCCAAACTGTGCCTGCCACTCCAGTGGTGCTGGGAGAGGCAAGCAGCACTGCAGGGAGAGCTACCCACCATTCCTAACACTTCTAACAACGCAAATGGAGACAGTCAGTCTTACTCAGATAACATCAGAGTGCAGGGGAGTCACAAAACAAGAAAATCCAGCTACAAGGCAAACAAGGAGGAGAGAGTCCAGGAGGAGATCCCTTCCCCCACCATCAGATAGTTCTAAATAAAACTACACTTCTAAGGTAAACCACAGTGAACCAGAATGTGCACGCTAGAAAATGAGAGCAATCGGGCAGAGTGCTCTCTTTGCTTTACAAGCATTAACGCTGTAATTAGTGTTTCCCACATTGTGGTTTCTTCTTTTTGACAGATCCCACACTGGCATCATCACACTGTTCCAACACTGCTGCTTTTCTTTTTCTTTCTTTCCCTGTCACTTGCTACAGAATTGACGATGACATTTCCAAAATTCAGCTCAAGGGCTCTCTTGGGGGAACTAAGCAGCAAAAAGAAGGCTGTGACAACAGCATGACAAGACAGGAACAAAATCATAGAGGCAGGAACAGGAAGCACAGAAGAAAAACAAGGCAAGTTTTGTTATTCTTTACTAGAAAAAGAGAGAAAAAAAGTGACAGAAAACATTAATATTTCAGCCTGGAATTTGTTTTTCCTGTATGAATTTAGCTCAGATGAAGATGCAGGACCAAAAGCCAGGGAATCTACATATTCCATTTTGTCACAGAGGTGCACTTAGCAGGAGCTGGCCTGCTCACATATACCTGGACCTTCCTAGCCTTCCCCTCCTGTCCTATCTACTGCTGAAAGGAGAATTCACCTCTCAAATAGACAAGGAAGCAGGAAGAAGCAGATACACTGGTGGCTGTACGCACAAAGAGGACATGCTGATGTTCAGAAACCACTGGCATCTTCACAAGGATAAGGGCAATGCGCTTGTTCAGCAACATCTTTCAAACACAGAGGCCCTGGGGCATAGATATTTGATCTCGGAGAAAAAGCCTAAACAGTAAAAGCCCAACAGCTTCCATTTTGGGGCACAAACTCTGCCTGTGCAAACCAGATAAGGGGTAGCCCCTTACCGTTTCAGTATTTCAGTGAAGAGCAGGAGCCCTTGCTTGTGCAACTCTACATTGTTCAGGTGCAGGACATCTCGGAGGCTCCTCACCAGAGATTCAATGCCTGCACATGTTCAAGAGAAGGCACAGAAAGGGCTTTTAACAAATATCCCGAAATCCAGAATGGAACCAAAATGATTTTTTTAAAAGGAAGGAAGATTTCAACAATCATTCTTCTGTGTCACTGACAGAAACAACAACTGCCCAAAACACCGTGTTAACTCAGCTCCCTGATAACAGGCCTCAGCTTCCACTGCTGGAGGAAAGTCCAGAAGGAAGGAAGGAATTTGGCTTCTTTTCCTAAATCCACCCTTGGCATCTCCACAGAAACACCTAATAAGACCTCAGGTAGTGTCGGTCATGAAGCCTGGCTATTATAATGGACACATGCTCATTAGGAACTCATTAGGTCAGAGACACTGTAAACTCAAGCTATGAAAACATCACAAATGTATCTGGTGGGTACTCATTTTCAGTTCTTTACCTATCCTGACCAGAATGGTGATTGTTCCTAAAGCACTGAAATTCAGCTAGAGGCACAGCAAGTGCTCACAGCAAGACTGCAGTAACTCTGTCAGAAAGGCTGATGACTTACCATAGACTGTGTGACACTTCGAGAAGAAAAGGCGCTCTTCAGTTAGGAGGAGCAAGCAGCAGTATACTGACCAGATGAGAATTTCATTGGTACATGAGAGACACTCAAACAGGAATTCTGCAAACACACACACACAAATAAGGAAGAGGTAAGGAGCAGTCTGCTCGCAGCAAGGCACAGCTGCTCCTAGAACAGAGTAGAGGAAGAAGGAGGAAACCAGGAAGTATAGCAACAGCCACAGGGAGAACGGTGACAGTATGAAATGGCAGCAATGGGGAATGCAGAGCGTACCTGGAGCTACGCTAGTCTTCAAAATAAAGCGACTAGAGAGCAGAGTCCTGCAGGTAGACATCTTCCCAGCACAAACTTTGCAGGCAGGAGCTGAACTGTGGCTCTAGCCTTTAGCACAAATGAAGAGCTGCAAAGCCAGCTTTACCACAGATGCAGTGATATTTTTTTCTCGAACTTCTAGGTCTCATAAGCGATTTACAAAACCAAAACATTTCTGTCTTCTGGGAGTAGAGTGAAATAATAAACCATCACCCACAGTTGGATTCCAAAGCTAAATCCTAGGCCAAATTCTGTGCACATTCACAATATTTAGTGGGATAAAATGTGATTCCAGCCTGTTAAGGTTTTGCAGCTACATTGCACAGGCTGGAATCCAAACAAAATGCAGTCTCTCCTGAGACAGGATCAACCTTGGGGCTGAAGGTTTTAAAGGAAAACCCAGATGCTGCAGGAGGCAGCTAGCAATGTAATGTGGTGAAGGGCACTCTGCTCTCTCTATGACAAGTGGACTATAAGCCACCTGCACAACAGATGTCTTACAACTGAGACAAATGGCTGATAAAACATTCCCTAATATCATTCAAGAGGGAGCTTGGCCTCAAGGACCTATCCAAATTCTTGTTGTGGCATCTCCAACCTGCCTGTTGACAGCTGCTTCTATACTTTCAATTGAAAACCTATTCTTCACTTCTCTTCCTAAAATCGCATTAGCTATTTTTACTGGTACAAAACAGTCCCTGCACAGATTATACAATCAGTGGATTTCACTGAGCCAGAATGATTCCTAATACAAACAAGCAGGGTGGGCTTTGATACTGAGAGTTAAATAATAGGTGTTGCTGCTCTTCTTCACCTGGGACATCTGCATGGATAAAGGCAGGAGCGTATCTGCTAGGAGAGTGAACCAGCACTGCTGCCATACAGTGAGAACTTGCTGCCTGTAACATCTCATCTCTGGTCAACAAAAGCTGTTGGGAAACAAAAGCCAAAAGGAGGGAGGAAGTCAACAGTGCAGATATGAGTAGCAAACAGTTCCCCCTAAATTTTAAAAAGAAATGAAGATGTCTCTTTTGACATGTATTTCACTGATTAAACTCACTAAGGCAAGATAAAACACTGAGCCAAATACACTCAAAAATGCAAAATGAAAACCACAATAGAGAAGACTATGAGTAAGGACAGCTCTGCCCCCATGCTTAGTTATGCTGGCACTACAAGTGCTGTATCAGACCTCAGGCGTCAGTGAGTAAAACCAGCTGGGGCCACAAGGAAAACTTCCCCCCTCTACAATGCAGGAATGAATGGTGGGACGATCTATGGAGGAGCCTCCATTTTCCACTGCAGCCTCTTTTGCTGGTCAGTGCTGGCAACAGCATAGTCAAGCACCTGAAATAAAGATTCAATACAGTCCAGCAAATTCTTTAATTCTAACAACAATTCACCTCAGAACAAGGGATAAGGCGGCCAAGGCCATGAAGGCCAGTGGTATCCTGGGGGCCATCAGGAAGAGCATTGACAGCAGGTCGAGGGAGGTAGTCCTCCCCCTCTACTCAGCCCTGGGGAGGCCACATCTGAAGTGATGCGTCCAATTCTGGGCTCCCCAATGCAAGAGAGACACGGCACTACTGGAGAAAGTCCAGTGGAGGGCTGCAAAGATGATGAGGGGACTGGAACATCTCTCCTATGAGGAAAGGCCGAGAGAGCTGGGCCTGTTCAGCCTGGAGAAAAGAAGGCTCGGGGGGATCTCATCAATGTCTACAAGTATCTGAAGGGAGGGTGTCAAGAGGATGGGGCCAGACTCTTCTCCGTGGTGTCCAGCGACAGGACAACAGGCAACGGGCACAAACCAAAACACAGGAAGTTCTGTCTGAATCAGAGGAAAAACTTCTTTCCTGTGAGGGTGACAGAGCCCTGGAACAGGTTGCCCAGAGAGGTAGTGGAGTCTCTTTTCTTGGAGAAAGCTGGACACGATCCTGGGCAATGTGCTCTAGGTGACCGTACGTGAGCAGGGGCATTGAACTAGATGATCTCCAGAGGTCCCTTCCAACCTCAACCATCCTGTGAATCCGTGATAACCTATTAGAAAGTCATAGGTTGCATGCGGTAAGACTACTTCAGCCATCACCTTTTTGAGAACAAGTGGCAGTGGGTTTTCGCCTTCTAAAAAGTCAGGGTTCTCAGACTCCTCCTTTGCCTTTGAATTGTTCATAAGAACGGACACAAAATGGTCAGATTTCAGCAGCTCCTTAAGCAAACCTGCAAAAGAGGGAGTGGGAGTAAGCATCACATTGGGCACGTGAAGGAGTATATTAACAGAGGAGTACTTACAGCCTAAGACCTATTGCCAGCTCCTCTCCTATCCTGCACTCCTTGCAAAGCCCCTCACCTCATTTTTAGGGAGCTGCTTCTGACTGACTATGCCCCTGCATGCTTCCATGAGCCACAGGTCTTGCAATCCCGTGCTGATTGTTTTTGCTGAGTCCGATCTCCTCCCTGCTCCTTCTCGGAGATGTGCAGGTACAATGGTAAATGATCGCAGAAACAACCTAGCTGCACTGTCTTCTCTGCTGCAGTACCCTCCCCCTAAACTGCTTCTTGAGAGAATTTTTGACCTGCACTTTTCTCCAAGCTACAGTCAGTGACAAAACAACAAGAGATTTTCCCTGGAATACTTCCTAGAGAATTGGTGTTCATCTTCCCTTTCTACTTTCACTTTCACAGGCTCTTACTGAAACAGCTGTGTTTAGTTAAAGGATATCCATACAAAAAATCAGTATAAAAGTATAGAGCATTGCTACAGGAACTGAAGCCAGTCATCAGAGTACATTTCTGTACAAGTTCACAACGGATATAGCCTGAGCTGTGGAATTCAACTTTTGAAGGAATCATCATCCATTTCCAGTAGCTGAGTAGGTGATCTGAGGGGCAATCCAATTCCTGCTTACCTCCTACATGAAAGAGGAATTCCCTGGATGGCTTGCAAACAAGCAATGCCAGGAAGGCTGGAACTGCGCTCTCCAGCACAGTTGAAAAGTGCAGGTGGAAGCATAAATGCAAGAAAGCATTATTTCCACATTTGCTTTCTAACCTAAATGACACAATGCCCCACACCAGAAGATAATATTTGTTAGAATCCATCCCTTTGCTCTACAGAACGTACCAGTCTGTGCTTAGTGTTTGCATTCAGACACTTTGAGGGACGGTCTGTTCCTAGGATGATAACATCACATTGAGGCAGGTCAAGCTGCAATGCAAATGCTGAAGAGTCTCTGAAGAATTCAGTGCTATGCAAACATGGGACAAGGGAGGGCTGGGGAAGCTCAGCAGCAGGGCTCCTCATGAGATTACTATGCAGTAACAGAAAGGATCAGCTGCTTCAGACAAAGCTTCCCTGCTGCAAAACAGCCTAATCACCTAGGAGTTTGTTTAATGCTCTTCTAGGAAACAACCCACATTATGGCCTCTAAACTATCCAAGGCTTTCTCCTCTGTTCTAAGGGTTCCCTCGCACCTTACAGCTTCTCTCAGAAATGCCTTACCCAAACAATTAACCTGTAGCTCCTTTGTCTGTGCATGTCCCAAAGTATTCAAGAAGAGACCACACAGCCTTTCTGTGAAGTGTGCTGAAAGCCGTTCTGTGCCAACGGGAGAGGAGTACAGCTTGCCATACAAGTAGCAGACAGCAGCCTTTACACCTTCATTTGGATATGTCAAGCCCATCAGCAGGTGATCCACTAAATTACCTAGCATGAGAAATAGTAATGGCAAGCATTCATACCAATGAACTGACATTTCTAGAGTATCCATCTACTTCCCTCAAAAGCCTGCAAAAGCCCACTGGACAGACCTGTGCACGTAGATTAATGAACGCCACAATTAAGTGATGAACTACTTCACCTCCACCTCTCCCCCTAGTTCAGTCAAACATTTATGGACGTGAATGTTTTTTGGAGTCTCTGAGCAGAGGTACAGAAACAAATGGCTGGAGGAGCTCACTGTTCATCAGATGAAGGTCCATCGCCCCAGTTACTTCCACTGATAGCTAAGCATGCTCAGCACATCCCCGGGGGCTGAACCAAGGAAAGAAAAAACAAATGTATATCGCCTGCAAGGCAGATCTACAAATCTCAGTTCACAGAGGCTGCTTTTGCCAGGCTGGCAAAGAGTAAAACATCAAGTCTGCTATGATGGTAGTGATCTGCAACCTGGGAGGCCCAAAAGCGACTCCACCTTCTGGGGCAGGGTTCTTGTGCGACCTTCATAAAGGCATGCTGGGGGCAGGGGTGCGTGCACGTGTTATGTGTAGTAGGGCTGTGAATACTACCTAGATGTAAACCTCAGTGGCGCATGACAGATTACTCACTGTGCTCTACCACCAGTAAATCAGCTAAGATAGGGATGGCATCTGCCAGTTTGCCCAAGAGAGTGAATGTGGGCAAGCTGCCTCTCATGGTAGTTGCTTTGCACAGCTGTAGACGAGACAGAGGAAGAAAACGTTTCACTGATGAGGGCACAGTCCAAAGGTGGAAATGCACACAAAATAGCAAGCTCTCCGTGATGTATAATGCTCCAAAACAGGATCTTTTCCTAAGAAGGGACCTCTTCACCACTTAGGATAAATCACAGGAAAACCCTGGACACACCTACTAAGCCTGCAGAACACAGCAGTGGTCTCGTAATTTACCCAAGAAGTCTCTTACCTTTTGCTCCTCTTCTTCCTTCTCATCTCCAGCTCTTATATTAGGGGATGAAGCAGCTGAATTTCCCACCTTTGCTATTTTCCTAGGCTTTTGTACCCTGTGGGACCATCACAAACTTAGGAATAAAGAGAGCAAGAGCCCACTGCTCGGCTGCAGATTGGGAAAGCTCCTTTTATCACTAACATGGTAAGAGAGGGAAAGAAGAATATGAGAAAGCCCACAGCCTCATGAGAGCATCATAAAGCCATGCAGCTGTAAGGCATCCTAGGAACAACAAGAAAGCTCCGGAGCAGACACCAATACTGCCAAAATCACAGGAGGGGAGCTGGCATTAGGACATCTTGCTGGAGCAGTAGCTGCCATGTTGCAGGGCCTCTCATTCCTCTCTCTTTAGCCCCTGAAGGATTGAAGTGAAGGGCAGGGAACTCATCTTCACTGACCTCTTTTTGGCTTTCATCCAAAAGATAGCGTAAGTACTGCTCCGACTTCAGCTCCACTATAAGCTGCACCAGAACTAGGCAAAAGAAACAGGATCAGTAATTCACATCAAAGGGCACTCACAATCCATCTTCCATAGGGCTTTAGCAGAGCAGCGAGCAAAAAGTTTAAACGTTAAATTAGCATGGAGGTACTGACAGAGCAGGGTAACATCTGCATTCTCAGTACTATTACTTCTGACAGCCCAGCCTGAGCCTTCTGCAGCAACACCACAGCAGGACTGTTCTAGTGGCACAACAAACTGTACACTGAAGTGAACCACAAGCAACAAACTGAGCATCAGGACACAAAATAAATGCAAGAAACCAGGAGAAGAAAGAAACAAATCCCTTGTTTAAAACCATCAAAACTTCTGAAAATAGAACAGGGAAGGATTCCAAAAGTATGAAAACTTCCCTTTAAAGACATGTCCTTCCTGAGAAGACCTCGGAATCACAATTGCTGATTAGGCTTGGATACAGTCTGAGAGCTTCTCCTCTACTACTGCTCCTGAGATAACGGTGCAATCTATCAGCCACTTCTACCCACTGCAGTTATTCCATATACCTTTCCGGAGAGCAAGGCCCCACCTCTCCTTGTGTTATTCACCTCCTCAGCCCCAGATCAGGGCTGTTATTCTGGTTCACAGCAACTGTAAAAACTCTGTCCGCTCTTTCCACTCTGTCCTAGTAGAGGGAATCAACAAGAAACTACGTTTACCAGGCATCAGTTGCAAGTGCTGTTTATGTTCTAGTAAAGCACAACAACAAAAATACCAGGGACTTCTGGATTCTTCATCTCTTGGCACCTCCTGGGCAATATTAGAGGTGCACCCAGGAGACAGACTTTAGCCAGAAAAGCCACAGGGCTCAGTAGAGGCATAGAGGCGATATATAGATGTTTTAATGGACCTTTCTTGCCCAGAATTCTCAGAATCTCTAAAAACTTTCAAGCAGTTAGCTACCAGTCAGTTAAAATGGCTCTGCTTTGAGAGCATTCACCTTGCAGAGGAATGGTAACATGACAGAAAACCTTCCCGCCTTTGTAACACCATGTTAAATATGTGCCTGAAAACTAATAACCCTCTATGAAACAAGCTAATCATACCTCTTTTCATCTGTCGTGGCTGGACAGGAGGGAATCATTGCATTGCTAATATCACTAGACTCAGCAAAGATGCCCACGCTTACCTGGACTGCAGAGATTCCCTCCTCAGCCCTGCAGGCATTACCTCCAGATTACAAATGAAGGACTACTCACAAAGAAAAGTCTGCAAGCTAAATCCCAAATACTCTATCCTGAGGAGAAGCACCAGATCCCAAAGCTCACTGAAGCCAATAGGACAATTTCCATTTGCTTTGATGAGCCTTGGGTCAGGCCTGAAGACAAGGCTTTATTTACCACTGCTATGCATCTGATGCTAAATTCATTGTACACAGAACCTGTATGAGACTAATATTTAAATCTGCACATCTGCTTCTCCCCTCCCAAAAAATATCGGAACAGTCTGCTCACCACCCTGCACTGAGAGACAATATATGCTCTTCCCAGTTCAAGACAGGTAGAAGCTGAACATCTCACTATCCATATCAGACTAGACACAGACTCAACTTCACAAACCGTCATTATCCAAGACATGGTATCTGCCTCTTACCTTCTAGGAACAGGTCCAAGGCACTGCTGTCTTCCACAGTATGCAACATCCCTAAAAGATAAACAGCAATCAATTGTGGAACTCATTCCTAATTGTGATCATCAGTGCTGTAATGCCTTCTTGTAAAAAGAGCTGCAAATCCTTTTAGAACTGTTTTGTTTTTCCCCTGCTTCACATGACACCAACCTGACTTTGTCAAAGGAAGGGGGATGCTCTCAGGGAGGATCACAAAAGATGTCTCCACAAGCAAGGCACAGGGCGATTAAAACATTCAGCTGGGGCTCCATCTTACATTCTGGCACCAAATGCATCCTTGGTTCATTCAAGCTTTATCCATAATTTATGTATTATTACATATACCCTAAACTTGGACTGGGAGCCCAACTGCTCTAGGAGGTATAGCAAGTACACTAAAACCCAAAGCTATCCCCAAACCATTCAACTGTAAAGTCCTTAAAAGAGAGAGACAGGATTATTATTTAAAAATAGGCAAGAGCATTGAAATGCAAACACAACTCCCGGCTTCTGAGGTATTTTGTGTTAGGGTCATACAACATAGGATTGGACTGGTCATAAGCACTGCTCCATCCACATCTATATAGGATCATGTACGCAGACAGTGCAAACAAGAGAACTAAACCTGCAAAAAGGCTCTGTTTCTAACCTAGCTCCGTTTCCAACACATGCACAGCACAGTTTGTCCAACCCAACCGGGAAAACACTGTTTGAATTATTCAGTGTGTCAAGACATGGGAAGGGACTTGTAAGTCACTCCCCCTCCCCCCAAAGAATAAGAAACATCTGTGATGTGCAAATGAGATCTGGGAATTCAGGGAATCCAATATATTTACTCTTTGAAGGTTCTTGCATTCATACCCTCCATCTTTCTCTTCCTGCCTTGCTGTTTCCTCATTTAGACCGCTATTCCTTCTCTGTCAAGAGTTTAGTCAACATTTCAAAGACCTTTCCCACAGCTAGGCAAACAGAAACCACTAAGATATGTTTGGGACTACAGAGACTGTGGTTGGAAAGGCACTTTCTGACATCCCTCTGAACACTCTATTCTGTTGTGAGGCTGACCTCCAGAAAGAAGTGGGTAATAGAGCCCTACAGCCACAAGAATTTGTACAGATATAAAGTGATGGTGTAAAAAAACACCACGTAGGTAAGTATTTTGCACATTTGATATTAAATCCCACAATATCTTTTCAAGCTCACACTTTCATTTCTGTACCAATCTTCATGTAACGCTATAGTTCAGCAAGATGAAAAAGCACTGAGGTGTGACAGCAGAGTGGAAGGCGTTCTGGGAAGAGCAATAAGCGAGAGCGCTCCATCCAGCAAGACTTTAAAGACAAGCTATGATACTTAGGAAAAGTGCAAGAGCTTTATTAAAATGCTAATTCTGCTCCTTGGTTAATAAGGAAATTAATTAACCTATTCTAATCAAATGGCAGCTCCACAGGGAATATAATACACCTAACATGGAAAGGTGGGAGCACAGAAGTAGTTATTAGTAGTCTCAATATTCTTTTTTTTTAACCCGGAGAAACCTCACATTTCTTCATCCATTCAAAAGCAGATGAGAACTGCCCTCTCTCTGCTACTGTATTAGGCCACGAGGGAGCTCTTACCAAAGAGAGTTTCTATCAAATGAACACAAAGCCCTTCATCTGGTGCCAGCAGCTGGACGACCGGCAGCGCCTGCCAGGCCAAGGCATCCCGGAGACGGGAGAGCATGTGTTTCTTACGCACCAACTACAGATCAGAGACAAGCCATTAGCGCTTAGGGCCACGCAAAGCTGCCGCTCGCACCATCCTAGGGGCAAGAGCGTCCGGACCTTACAGCACGTCTGGGCCCAAGGGCTTAGCACCAAGATACACCCAGCCACCTCCGAGCCCCGAATCCGAAGGAGGAGATGGAAAAGCCAGGGAAGCAGGGTGGGGTGGGGTAGCCCTCTCTGTGGGGCCAGCACTGAGGCTGAAGGCTGTGAGCGGCCAACGCTCCGCGGCTGGGGGAGGCCCGGCGGGAGGCTCTCAGCGGCCAGCCCGGCCCAGCGCAGGCAGAGGTGTGTCCCCCCTCCTCCACCATCACCTCCC